TATACAATTAAAATTGAATTGAATTGAAATTGAGAGACTGTAAGCGCAATACCTTCCTCTGTTGGCTCAGCAGCTCCCTCTAGTGATGGTAACGTGACTTCTGCATTCTGGTCTAAAGCTGACATCACAAGCTGTGACAGCGCCCCAACATCTGCACAGAAATAGTCAGGAGTGTCGGTTAAACTAAAGTCTTATTGATTAATTGATTGATTGATTGATTGATTGATTGATGTACCTGTACAATCTCCAGGCCTCGGCAGTGAGGGGGATGGGTCTGACAGGGTGGAGCTAACAGCCGGATTAGCCGCACTGCTAACAATGCCGGCTAAACTGGGTATGTTAGCTAATGAGCTAAAGATGCTGTCTAAGCTGGCCGCACTGGTGTTAGCGGCAGGTACAGATGTGGTGGTGGAGGCAGCTGGGTTAGCCACAGCACTAGCAGCTCCTGCTAAGCTAGGTATGTGAGCAGCAATGCTGTTAGCCATGCTGTCTATTGAGGGCGGGGCAGAGGGTGCTGGGGGTGTCGGCACAGAGGGGGCGGAGCCACCGATGGAGGTTGCGAATCCAGCCAATGCCGGGATGTTGGTGGCGATCATGTCAGTGACGCCAGCCAGAGTCGGGAAGTGTCGGCCCGACACAACGAGAGGAGGAGGTGTTGCATCATCACCTGAGGAGGACACAGTGATATCATAATCCGCTGAGACACCTGTCAATCAAACAAACAGCTGCACTTCCTCTGATGTCAAACTCTAAAAAAACTAAAAATACAATCAGAACAGTCTTTACACAATAAGAGCCTCCTTATGATTCCTGAAAAGAGGCTTTCACAGTAAGAGTCCTAGTGTGATTCCAGAGAGGAGACTATCACAATAAGAGTCCTAGGATGATCCCAGAGAGGAGACTATCACAAAAGCCAAAGGACTCACAAAAAGAGTCCTATGGTGATTCCAGAGGATACTATCACAATAAGAGTCCTATGGTGATCCCAGAGAGGAGACTATCACAATAAGAGTCCTATGGTGATCCCAGAGGATACTATCACAATAAGAGTCCTATGGTGATTCCAGAGGAGACTTTCACAATAAGAGTCCTATGGTGATTCCAGAGAGGAGACTATCACAATAAGAGTCCTATGGTGATCCCAGAGGAGACTATTATTTCATTTTTCTTATCATTAAATCTGAATGTTCAGACTCAGTACAACAACCCATGAGTCCATCTCTCAATACTGTCTGACTTCCTGTCTGTGGCTGTCAACTCCAAGCTGAGTGGTTGCTACTGAAGACTTTAATAACTCCTCACAGATATATAGTTTCATGTTTATGAAAGTTCAGTCATTTCTTCTAAACAGCAGCCTTTATCAAATAAACAGGAGTATATCATAAATAAGTAATAAATAGTGCAGTTTGTTGGGGATTATTTTCGGCTTTCTAGAATATTTGGGGCATTTGAACAACTGGAAGAATGTGGAAGTTCAGAGTTTCTAGGAGAAAATCTTTCTGTAAAACAGTCTGTAAACTGAAACAAGAAGGTTGGAAAAGAGAAATATTAAACCTGATTTTTAACAAAATACCTGAAACAGGTGATTAACACACAGACCAGATTCTGTCCTGAACCAGCCGCAGTGTTTACTTTCAGCTGAGATCATATGATCAGCAGTCAGGAGACAAACTGGTTTCAGATAATCATCAGTCAACAGACAGCAACAACAGATTTAATCTGCTGGAACAAACCGGTTGGACTGCCTTAAAACACGCTGCAGCTCGTCAGCACAGTCCGACCAATCACTGATCTCAGACAGACAGGCAGACAGGGTGACTTCTAATAACAGATCAATATGATTGATTAATGTCTGATGATATGGTGTGTGTGTGTGTGTGTGTGTGTGTGTGTGTACCTGTACTCAGGTGAACTCCATTAGACAAAACTGGTTGCAGATTTTCACCGATCAGATCTCTGAAATACAAAAAGTACACCTGAATAAATCAACATAATGTAACTTAAAGGTTCATTCTGTAGATTTAAAGTTTGATCTGCAGATTTAAAGGTTCATTCTGCAGATTTAAAGTTTGTTCTGTAGAGTTAAAGTTTGTTTTGTAGATTTAAAGTTTGTTCTGTAGATTTAAAGTTTGTTCTGCAGATTTAAAGGTTCATTCTGTAGATTTAAAGCTTTGTTCTGTAGAGTTAAAGCTTGTTCTGTAGATTTTAAGGTTCATTCTGTAGATTTAAAGTTTGTTCTGTAGATTTAAAGGTGAACTCACCTGTCCAAGGGAGAGGCGGAGCTCAGACTGTCCCTCATGTAACGAGACCGAGGCTTTGGGACAGGAACTGGAGGAGGAGTCATCTGGAAGAGAGGATCAATAATCTGTCAGGAAGCATCATTGTCTCCTAGCAACATAAATCCTGACACACCTGTGAGTGATCACCTGCAGACTGAAAGTAGTGGATTTATTGATCTAGAATCACTAACTGATGTTATAACTGATGTTGGCTGCAGGGACTAATCAGCTCTCGTCTAATGAATGTTAATAGTTTGGATCTTTACTAACTGATTGATTGACTGATTGATATAGTATTGACTATATTTTGAACTTGTATGTATGTAAACCCGCTAACACCCGATATTAATCGGCTTCACCTCCGATCGGCATTGATGTGAACGTCACACC